GGCCCTCACGGTACCCCCCATGATCTCAGGAACTCCCTGAGCCTGAGCCCTTGGGCTGAGGCCACCAAGCCCCGCTGCCCCTCCCAGCCCCGCCCCCATCCCCTCACACATGGGGTGAGCGGGTGTGGCTCATGGCAGGGCGGCCTGGACAGTAGGGTCCCCTCATAGCCTGCCCCTGATGGGCTTCGGCTAACGTGACAGCCGATTGCATCAGGTGCTGTGACCACAGCAGGCCGGGCGGGACGCTGGCCCTTGGCAGAAGCGCCCAAATGATATTACAGCTGGCCTGTTCCAGCTCCTGGACGCCGTGTGGCCTGAGGGCCCGTCGAGACCCGTGTGCCCTCGTTGCTGGGCAACGGGAGGTGGCGGTGGTGAGCAAGCCTTCCTGCCAGACCCCCAGGCTCTCAGTGGGCTTAGTCCGAGAGGGGGGCTGAGCCTCCTGGTCTGGTCACAGTGGGATCTAGGCCCCCCCCCCAGCCCCTGGGTGCGGCCGGTGGCCAGTGGGCCCAGATGAGACCACCAGGGATGGCGGGACCTTCTGACCAGCGGCTGGGGACTCAGGCTGCTTGGGTGTGGCCGAGGGACACATCACGTCACCCACAACACTGGGTTAAGGGGCCGCGGTGACGACTCCCATTACACACACTGGTCAAAATGCAATTCCCCAGCCACAGGCTCGGCCCAGGCCGCGTGTCCGACCTCAGTGTGGAGCACAGCATGGGCATCACTGGCGGCAAAGGTCTAGGCGGGGCCTGCGGGCAGAGCCCGGGGCGGTTCCTCCTTCCCCTCTCCGCCTTCCTCTCCCTTCCTGTGTCTGTCTCTCCCCGTCTCTCTCTCGGTCTCTCTCCATATCTCTGTCTCTCCCCGTCTCTGTCTCTCTCTCCATCTCTCTCTCCCTTGTTCCCTAAGACGTTTGAGGCCCAAATCCGGCACCTGGAGACCCGGCCGGCCCAGAGGCCGCGCGCAGGGGGCCCCCACCTGGAATACTTTGTGTGCTGTGAGGTGCCCAGGGCGGACCTGCCCGCCCTGCTCAGCTCCGTGCGCCGGGTGGCTGAGGACGTGCGGGGCGCCAGGGAGAACAAGGGTAAGGCTGCTTCCACTGCCCTTGAGGGCTACCCGTGACCTCGAGATGGGGGCAGAGAAGCTCCCGCAGGGGACCCCTGAGGTGACCGCACGTGCGGCCTGGGGGAACCCCCCTCCCCGCTGGCTCGGGCCTCCTGCCCCTCTGGGACCCCCGAGAAAGCCCCGGGGGAGGCCCGACGCTCACACAGGCCTGTGTCCCTTCCGTCCTCCTCGAAGTCTTCTGGTTCCCAAGGAAAGTTTCCGAGCTGGACAAGTGCCACCACCTGGTCACCAAGTTTGACCCTGACCTGGACTTGGGTCACCCGGTGAGCTGCCGCCTCCCGGGGCCTCCTGTGTCCCCTTACTCGTGGCCAGGGTGGTGGGTGTGGGCCCCAGGCCGACCTTGGATGGGGAGCCTGTCTGCTGCCCAGCTCCTGGCCAAACCACCGAGGCCTGGCTAAGAGCAGCCGCCAGGCACCTTCCGGTGCCTCGGCCATAGCGGGGCTGGTGGGCAGGGAGGGGTGGTGAGCAGAGAAGGGGGCCAGCGAGCTGGGGGGGGTCGGTGGGCAGGGAGAGGGGTGACTGGTGGGGAGGGGCCCGGCTGGGCTGGAGGGTGCAGTGGGTGGGGAGAGGCGGGGCAGCAGGTGGGAGGAGGCGGTGGCAGGGAGGGAGGGGTCAGGTGGGGCGGGGCGGCGGGCGGCCTCCTGAGCGCGTCCGCTGTGCGGGCAGGGTTTCTCCGACCAGGCGTACCGGCATCGCAGGAAGCTGATCGCCGAGATAGCCTTCCAGTACAAGCAGTAAGGACCCCTGGGGCCTCAACCCCAGGGACCCAGACCCTGTCCTGTAGCCTCACACTGGCACGCTGGGGGAGGGGTGTCTTTGTGTCTTTGACCAACACTGTCACTGTGGTCACTGGCCTGGGCCCCCAAGTCACGTCGAGGAAACCAGGCAGCTCGCTGAGGCCACACGGCCAGCTGGGCGTCCAGCCCCAAGCCCCTCCTGTCTGCTCTCCACACGCCCTTCGCGAGGGGGCCCCGTTGACCTCCCCACACGCCCCCGAGGCGGCCCCGCTGACTGCACACCCCCCTCTGCAGTGGCGACCCCATTCCCCGTGTGGAGTACACGGCCGAGGAGATCGCCACCTGGTAAGACCCCGGTGCCCATCCCAGGGTGGAGGGGCAAGGAGGGCCAGGGGAAGACCCCCCCAAGTCCCCACGTGTGATGGCCAGGTGGGGAAAGGACTTCCCAAGGCCCTGATTGTCGGTCTAGAGGGACAGGCTGGTGGTGGGTCAGGCTGTCCCCACGGCCTCTGTCCCTTGGAACCCCCCACAGCTGTGGGCAAAGGCCCCTCCCAGTGGCCGGGGTCTCCAGGGTCCAGCGAGAGGCCTGGAGTGGGGACCCCCCCCCCGCCCCCACCGTGGAGCCTGCCGAAGGCAGAGCACAGTCAGGAGGGGAGGGGCTGGCATCCAGGTCGGGGGCAGGCCTGGCTGCCTGGGGACGTGGGGCACCACAGCCAGGCCTGAGACCCCCGCCTGAGACCCCCGCCTGCAGGAAGGAGGTCTACACCACCCTCAAGGGCCTCTACGTCACTCACGCCTGCCGGGAATACCTGGAGGCTTTCCAGCTGCTGGAGCGTTTCAGTGGGTACCGGGAGGACAGCATCCCTCAGCTGGAAGACGTGTCCCGCTTCCTGAAGGGTGCGCGGGCCGCGGGGAGAGGCGCGGAGGAGGGAGGCCCCCACCCTGCCAGGCGCCCTGACCGGCCAGGGTCCTTGCAGAGCGGACAGGCTTCCAGCTGCGGCCCGTGGCCGGCCTGCTGTCCGCCCGGGACTTCCTGGCCAGCCTGGCCTTCCGAGTGTTCCAGTGCACCCAGTACATCCGACACGCCTCCTCGCCCATGCACTCCCCGGAGCCGTGAGTGTGCACCTGCACCGGGCCCTGCCCCTGCCGCCCAGCCTCCCCACGCGGGGCCGGCAGAGAGGGAGGGGGCCGGGGGCGGGAAGCCGGGCCCCTGGACGCCCTTCCCCCCAGCACCGCCCCTCTCCCCACCCCCACAGGGACTGCTGCCACGAGCTGCTGGGGCACGTGCCCATGCTGGCCGACCGCACCTTCGCTCAGTTCTCCCAGGTTTGTGCCCCAGGCCCCAGGCCGGGGACCCGCCGGGCTGAGGGCTGGGGTGCGTGCTGCCTGAGCCTCAGCGCCCTGCCCGAGTCCCCCTGTGGCTGGACGGTGCCCGCTTGGGCCCATGAGGCTTCAGGGAGAGGCATCGTCCTGGAAGAGAGGGGTGGTTGAGCCGCACTGGCTGCACTTAGACCTGTTCTGGGCAGACCGCTTATAAAAACGAGGAGGCGTTGGCGGGCCTGGCGCAGCGGGCCGGTGGGCGGATTCCCACGGCCTGTGCTGCCACCTGCTGGCTGCTTCCTGAAGAGACGTCTTGGGCCCTCGATTGATCCTGGGAGGGTCCCTGCATCCCAGGAGGGCCCCCCCACATCTGCATACCTATGGGGTCCTCTCCATCTTGGGAGGGGCCCTGTATACCTGGAGGACCTTTGCATCTTGGGAAGATGCCCCATTCCAGGAGGCTCCCCGGATCCTGGGAGGGTCCCCGAATCCCCAGAGGGTACTTGTGTCCCAGCTGGTGTCCAGGAGGCCCCTGGGGTGTCCTCGCCCCACGCAGGCGCCCGCGCAGTGTTGGGCCGAGCCTCTCCCCTCTCAGCCTCCCTTTCCTCCACAGGACATCGGGCTCGCGTCCCTGGGGGCTTCCGACGAGGAGATTGAGAAGCTGTCCACGGTGGGCGCCTTCCCCTGCAGGGCCTTGGGGGGCTGGCCCCAGGGTGCCTGGCTTCAGGGCAGGGCCCCCCCACCTGGGCCTGGGCCCCCACTTCTGTCCGGGGAGTGTCACCTTTACGCTGTAACCTCGCCAGAGTCTGGCCGGGCTCTGCCCTGGGTGGGGGGTGCCCCAGGCCCGAGGGTAGGTGGGCCACGGTGTGGGCAGCGGCTGCCTCTGCCGACGCTGTGCCCGTCCCGCCAGCTGTACTGGTTCACGGTGGAGTTCGGGCTGTGCAAGCAGAATGGGGAGGTGAAGGCCTACGGTGCTGGACTGCTGTCCTCCTACGGGGAGCTCCTGGTGAGGCCACCCCACCGGGGGACCCTGCCCCACCCACATGGCCTCCAGGCCTTGGGAGGACCCCCCGGGGAGGGGGACGTGGCGGGCCAGGGTGGGGGGGCCCGTGACCCTGCGGCCTCCCCCCAGCACTCTCTGTCTGAGGAGCCCGAGATCCGGGCCTTCGACCCGGATGCTGCAGCCGTACAGCCTTACCAGGACCAGACTTACCAGCCCGTCTACTTCGTGTCCGAGAGTTTCAGCGACGCCAAGGACAAACTCAGGTGCCCAGGCCCCCCAGGTGCCCCCAGACAGGGCGAGCCTGCAGCAGGCCCGGGCCTGTGAACCCACTGTGCAC